CTCCCTTGAATGATATGTGTGGAGGAAGCCTTGATCACCCCCTCCCACCGCAACCCCCACCTGTATCTGGACCCGGTCTGAAGGCCACGTTGGGTGGATACAGAGAACTGAACTCTGGTGAACGGTGCTGACTGATAACAATTGGTTGGAATCTGTGGGTCTCTGACTGGTCCCAGCAYGCTGCCTTGGATGTCACCGGCTCCGCTGCACCCCTCCCCTTGCCATATGCTTTGTTCCCACACTCCCCTCCCCTCCTTAGCTGCTCTTTCTTTGGCAGAGTAGTTTTTTTTGGAGCGTATGCTCATGCATTTTTCTATATAAAACACAGGACCAAAGCTATTTTTTAACTCATCCTTCCTATGTGTGTGTATTCTAAACTGCAAAGGTAGCGCACTACGTTGCGAAAAACCCTGGACATTCGTTCTCCCATGTTTGTCATGTACGTGTGTTTCTCCGGATGGATGTTCTAAACTGCAAATTTTGTTCTACATTGCATCTTGATGTTGTAAATGAATGACMAAAAAATGATTCTTGATTCTTGTTGATTCATGTTTTTTTAGATAATCTAGCTGTATTTTGTCAGACAATCCAATGTAAACACTTGTGCCTTTCCGATTGACAACTTTAAATAAACCTCATTTCTTTCTGTCATTAGCAAACATGCATTTTGTCAAATCTCTTTCACATTTGTACTTTTTTATCACTTTATTGGAACTTAACTATGCCTTTTATGAATGTTTTACCACTGGTATGTAAATATTTCCGAATTCCAGCTTACTTATGTGAGGTTATAGAATGTTTTCTTTAAACTATTTAGTATTTTACTTTCATAAAATGTGTTTTTACTTGTTTGGGGTAATTAAACAAGCATTTCATGATACCACAAGTAGTCATACACTTTTATTTTTTTATTCTCTATGCAGCAATTTTCCCATTCYGTCACACATCAATAAGTGCAATTGGGAGTTTGGTATGCTTTGACTCAATCTGRTCTGGTGATCAAACAAACAGGGTTCTCTTCCAAAGACTTATAGATAAAATACTTTCACTCAGATATGTTTTTATACTTTGTTTTTTTTTTTGAATGACTGGTAAAATTGTGCAATGCAGAGACCTGCAGGAACCACGTCAACAATATCACTTACATTTTATTTGCCTTGTAAAGGGGTGTCATAACTGGTTCAGTAAGGCAGGTGGTGGTATGGAAAATATCCTGTTTATTCTCCTGGCTTCTGCTTTTTTTGTGTGTGCCTCCTCAGGCGAGGAGCCAGAGCTTTGAGGCATTGTTTGACAGTCTCTAAAGCCTCAGCATGTTCGGGTTTACATTTTGGATCTTTCTACATTGCACCTTTCTGTTGTTCTGACTGGCTGAATTGCCTTTATCTCAGCCTCTTCCTCCTTGGGGGACAATGCTCTTTATTCATTGTTAGCTCGTTCTTATAGCCAAGCAAGTCTAGGACCATTCTGTGGTGTATACCAGCATATTGATCTTTGTGCTGGTGTCATCTATATTCACAGTCAGAGGATCTTTGTCACTTGACCTTGGCAAAGAGGTGTTTCTCATGAACACAATTTGCTTATATAAAGCACAGATGTTTGAAACTTAAGTCATCATGTTACAATGGATTGATTTAGGCACATAACTGCCTCATTGGGGAAAAAAACCATTAAAAAAACCTTCAACCTGTTTTTAATTTCAGGCCAAACAAATGAGAACAATCTGGCCTTGTTGCAAAAAATACGCAAAATGAAATACGAGTACCATTTCTAACTCTGACATTGCTAAAGTCAGTGTAGATGCAAATTATGTCATACATTGCCACAATAWTTTTTTTAATTAGTCCATTGCTCAAAGATTTGACTTTGAAAAGAATCAGTTACAAACCTTTTGTAAACAAATTAGCTCAAAMTCTACTTTAGAACCTATTGAGATACTCCACTGATTACAGGAGCAGAAAAAGACTTGCTTAGTCATCTGTATAGAAACAGTTTGGCCAAGACTGACAATAAAATCATGAATCCACTCCTAAATACTGAAAGATCAAACAYGTTTGTCCAGACTTCAGAGAATAAAACTTTTAGCAAAAATGTTAGAAAAATGGATTTATTTTTAAAAAGAACTTGAGGTTCTTACAGTATCAGTTGTTATAAGTTTGACTTCTGCTACATTTTTTTAAATTTATTTTATTTTAGCTCTACTGCACCTTAATCAGCATCAAAGGAGAATTCAAAACCTGGTATAATTTAAATTTCTTTGATTTATAAACAAAGCAAT